TTTATATAGTTGGAAAGCTCTTTGATTTAATACTTGAATTTTATATAGTTGGAAAGCTCTTTGAGTCTACTTTCTAATGGATCAAACAAAATCAAAATCCAAATTTTCTAAGAAAAGATTTTGAATTTTTACTAGACACACTGCAGTTGTCCAGAAAACTGCACAAGGGGTAGATTTGAAAATTTACTATAATTCATACATAGTGAATTAGGTGATAAGCTTTATATGGATTGAAAGTCCTTTAAGTCTAGTTTCTAAATCTTCAAAACAGTTTGTGATTTAAATTTGTATTACTCAAGATATAATCAAATTAGTGAGTAAAGTGCAGAACGGGAGATAACCACCTAGCCACTGATAGGATCGATCTCCTCATGGAAGGGATCAATCGGGTCGTGATTTTCAAAGGTAAATTGGTTTAAAACATGAACCAATCGATCCCCTCATGGAAGGATCGATCAGTTTTGGGTGGAAACACTCCAACGGCTATTTTTTGGTGCTTCCAATAGCTATTTTTTCTCCCAAACACTGCCAACGGCTACTTCTTCAATTTTTCTATAAATTTGGCACTCCAACACACTAAGAAGATTGATGAATCAAGAGAGCAAGAGCAAATAAGCCACATTTTCATTCTTTTCAAAGAATCAAGAGTTTTTAGAGCTTCAAAGTCCATATCTTTGTATTTATTGTATCCAATTTTTATTTGTTATTCATTCATCATTTTCTTGTACTTAAACTTAGCAAACACTTAGCCTTAGAGAGGTTGTTCTATTGTTTGCAAAATTACCTTTGATATACAAGGGTGGAAGAGAACAAGAGGTAAGGTATCCTTTCGAGAGCTTTATAGTGAGATTGGGTAAAATACTACAAAGGGTAGAAGTTTCTATCTTAAGCCATATAAAGAAAAAGATAGGTTGTATTTTCAATTCAAGAATAGTGGATTGAAGCCTTGGTGTGGACAACCAAGAAGAAAGGACATAGGTGCCTTGTGAAGAATGACCGAACTTCTATAAATCATTGTGTTTGATTTTTCTATCCCTATCTCCTTACAATTTATTATTGTTTATATTTGATTTTATATTTATTAATTGTTATTGTTTGCATTATATTTTTATCAAAAGTGCTTATTATTTTAATTTTCATTCAACTATATTGAAATCATTTGTTTGGGAAGAATTTGGTGAAATCTAATTCACTCCCTCTCTTGGATCACCATCTAAACTATAAAGCTAACAGTATTAGAAGATCATTTTGTATCAGATGGTAGTAATACTATGTGATGATTTAGATTATGTAATGAACTTGATACTTTACGTGGTTATTTCAGTAGTTTATTGCAGCAGATCTATTTAACTTAGAGAAACTTTTATTTTGTAACATGGATGAATACTCTTATAGCAAGATCAACCATGTTTAACAAACCACCTTTTATAAGAGCATAGACCTAACTTTAATGAATTTGTAACTTAACAAACATATAACAAAGACAAAAATAGTTAATAGACTCTAAACTCATACAGAAAACTAGTATTGATAATGATAAGGCATTTATATCAATTTGTAATGTAGTTCTAGAAGT